TTTGCTAAAAGGACAATGCTGCTAACAGCACCACACTGCTAACAGGACCACACTGATAACAGCACCATACTGCTAACAGAACCAAACTGCTAACAGGACCATAGGGCTAACAGGACCACTATGATAACAGCACCACTCTGCTAACAGCACTGCACTGCTAACAGCACCACTCTGTTAACAGGACCCCACTGCTAACAGGGCCATGCTGCTAACAGGACCATTCGGCTATCAGGACCACGCTGCTAACAGTACCACTCGGATAACTGCACCACTCTGTTAACAGGACCACTAGGCTAACAGGACCATGCTGCTAACAGGACCACTCGGCTAACAGCACCACTCGGCTAACAGCACCATGCTGCAAACAGTAACAGTGTTATAACACTACTTTTTATTTAATTGCTTTTTTATTGTTGTATATTGTTGTCTGTACTTCATATGTTGCCCGTCTGAATCAGGTCTCTGTGACTCAGTGAGACTAACCTGTAGAAATAAAGGTTGAATAAATAATAGGAAACAGTTTCAACTACTCAGGTTTGGTCCACTTAAAGGGACAGTCTGGACACTTTTGACGAGATGTTCTATCAAACAGTATTAGTCAAAGAGCATGGAGTGTGGACGAAGAGGCAAATGTCTTCATCCAAACTAGGCTAGGCTAACGGCTAGCTAAACAGGGTTTGTTTAAGCCCATTTTTTAGGCTTATGAAACAGTTGTTGTTTTAATTGACCTACTGGTGAGAAAGAAGGTCTAATTAGCCAATATGAAATCTACACTTTTTCATGACATCGTTTGTTTAGTCATTATACGCGTGTGGCTAGCCGTTAGCCTAGCCTGGATGAAGACTTTCAGCCTCTTAACTCGTGTCATGGCTGATAAGCTACTACCTGACGACTAAATGACCAAACCATCTCTTTAAGGTCCGAGATCATTCTTTAGCTTCTTCAGTCAATAATAATAATAATTCGTGTACAGGCAGATTTGTTTTTGGACTGGGTAATGCTGCAGACTCCTTCCCTTCATATCTGACCGGTACAGGAGTAAGAATAACAAGAATACTGGGAGTAACTGAACGACAACAGAGTTTTCATACGTTTGTCATCCCATTGAACGGTCAGTGGCGAGCTTTGGTACTCTGAGGTCTTCACCAAATCCCCCTGGCTGCCGACACTCCAAGAGGAGACGGTGCACACAAACTGGCCCATGTCGGAATCCTGAACAGCAGGAAACAAACATCTGATCCAAAGATCGGCATCATTTTTATGTATTTGCGTCACCTGCGCGTTCCTGAGTCCGTTCCTACCTGCGGGCGTAGAAACTGCAGTTTGAAGGTGTTTGGTTGGAGTCTGCTCAGAGATATCTGCCCACTCTTCAGCTTGTCGGTATAAACCTGCCCGGGCAACAAGTTGCCGTTGCCATCCAAGGAGCCAATCAGTTGTGGGCTTGGCTGGTTCCCCTTACCTGTCGGGGATGGGAAAAGTAAAATCTTTGAGCCCCTGCAGAAATGTCTGGGGTTAAACAGTCTTATCAAACAGAGCAGTGTGACGTACTAGGAAGTCCGGTGTGCTCCCAGCGGACTCCCAGTCTGCCTCCTGGAGGCAACGAAACGATGTCCGTCACGCCGCAAGACAGCTCCATGGGTTCGAACATCCGACTGGGCTTCTGGGTGGCACCGAGGCTCAGCGTGAAGTTTGGCTCTGTGTTGGAAGAGAGGGATCATGAAGCGTGAGGTCAACAGTAAAGTCTTCTGAAGAAAAAAACAAACGTAAGACGTGGACCAACGAAACCTGCTGCTGAAGATTTATTTTCATAGCCTCGTTGTTTGCGTACGTTAACAAGTAACTAGCATCTCTCGAAGCAAGCGTTCCTTCAAAACGTCAACTCAAACACAGATGAGGTAAACGAGCGGTACGCCGATGTCCCCCGTCGAAGAGGGGTTTGAACAGTGAAGACACGAGACACCGAGAGACGTCTCTGTTGCGTGCCGTTTGTGCGTGAAAACCAGCGCTACCTCCGGAGTAGGCCTGTCACGATAAATGTCGCTGGGCGATTAATTGTCTCATAAGTTATTGCAATAAACGATAATATTGTTTGAAATTTGACAATAATTAGTAATTATTGTCAAATTTAAGAAGAAATGTTGGTTAGTTTTTGAGTGTAGTACCTTTGTTGACCACCGGATGGCAGTATAAGCCTGAACTGAAGGATGGATAGTGAGGGAGCGAGCAGCGTGTCTCTTTAATGGGAGGGAGGCACCTTGACGTGACATGGGCGGTCTCTCCTTCCTCTTTTTGGTTCTCAAAATGGCGGACGCTCGTGATTAATTGATTTACCGTTTATCGTGACAGTCCTACTCTGTAGCTTTTTAGCTAGCACATCTGTATTACACGCAGCTAGCTTAGCGCTACATCAGTGCCGGATGTTGTTAAAGGTGGGTGGGGGGCGGGGCAGTTCGGTTGACAGGGCGGGGCGCCCTTCTTGTATAACGGTTGGGGAAACGATGTTACCACACCAAACTGTAGCTAAATATCTGTAGAACCAATAGAGTCGTAGCCATTTTTGTGTTTTCTAAACTGGATTAGCTGCGGCCGCCATCTTGAATCAAGTTGAAGGATGTACATTCAATCAGAGCTGCTGCCGGTGAAGACTTCCTGTTGGCTGGAGGAAACTGAGCTATCAATAAAGTAATTGATAATCAACTGAAATAAAAACAGTCGACAGTGGCAGATCTTCATCCCATGACTACTTTTCTAGTTTCATTAAAATCTATTCACTGGTTGGTCAGGTATTTTGCTAACAGACCACTGATACGTCCTCTGGACGACTGGCGTCATCTTGTCCAGCCAAACATTTCCAGCAGATAATCTGAGCTGCCTCCAGAAGAAGGATCCCGTCTCGTTTCAGCTCCATCACCAGGTTCAAGTCATTTCAGTCCCAGCATCGCCGGGCGACACGGTGGTCCATCGGTTTGTGTTGAAATTCAGGCGGTGTCGGGCTTCAACAGAGCCGGAGGACAGAAATAGACCTGAAGTAACACGGATAACTGAGTGTGACGAAGTGTGTATCAGTGGGGTGGGTGTGTTTATGTGCACACACACACACACACCCACATGGAGCTCCTGACAGAAACCAGCTTCATCACATCAGTTACAAGTAACTGAACACACACACACACACACACACACACACACACACCGTGAAAGACTATAAATACTTGTTTGTGTGTGTGTTTGGCAAAAGATGGCGGTTTGGATGATGTCAGTTGGACGTCACACACACACACCGAGTCATGTACTGTCACCATCTGCTGCAAACAGACACACACGCTTTGATCAATGAGTGTGTGAAGCTGCTCAAAACACACACACACACACACACACACACACACACAGAACATTACCACTTATTTAGTGATGCTTCACAAACGAGTCATCATCACATCCTCATCACATCATCCTCATCTTCATAACATCATAATCATCCTCATCATCCTAACTGTCATCATCACATCATCATCATCATCACATCATCATCATCAACACCTTCATCACCATCGTCATCATCATCATCATCTAGGGGAAACACTGCATCATCATCCTTATCCTCATCACTTCATCATCACATTCATCACCATCGTCATCACATTATAATCCTAATCAGCATCACATCATCATCATCACCACCATACTCATCATCCTAATCATCATCATCACCTTCATCACCATCGTCATCATCCTAATCATCATCATCCTAATCATCACATTATCCTAATCCTCATCATCATTACCTTCATCACATCGTCATCATCATCATCATCATATAAAGGAAACACCGCATCATAATCCTAATCAACATCACATCACCATTATCACCATCCTCATCATCCTAATCATCACCACCACATCACATCATCCTAATCCTCATCATCATCACCTTCATCACCATCGTCATCATCCTCATCATCATCCTA